TCGGTTTTGATTTTTACTCAAAAAATACAGTTTTTATTTTTACTCAAAATAATAATCTGTCTTTCATTTGCAATGGAGCCAAAGATTCATTATTTTTTGGCTTTAGATTATGATGGAATAAAGCAAAATGCTCACTAAACTGTCTGCGCTTCTTTGTTATGAAGCAGTAGTCAGTCAATGCAATTTTGGACGCGCTTTTCACTATGGGTTATCCGGAAACAGTCTCTTTGTCCTTTAGTACAGGGGTAAGACTGCGTACATCCGACCCCCTGTTACCCCACCGTAGGTGGGAGCCTTTGCGGCATTGGGGTAAATGAAAATGAAAATGACTCAAAATAATGATCTGTAAATTTATTTCAAATAGATTTTGTTTGGTTGGATTCAATTAGTTAGGCAATCTGGAATGAGACTCTTGGTAACCTATTTAATTAGTCAAAATGTTGAGTTTATTTTGATTAGGTTACCTTTTAAAATCCATACTTTCTTGGATCAATAGTATTTGGTTGAGTTCCCATCTATGGTTAATTAAGAATAGAACATGTATTAGTATTTATTTTGACTGAATTGACAAGCTATATAAGATGTTATTATATGGAGCTAAACTCATTGTCTATAGTATAACTACTCTCTAATTCTACATTTTTGCATATGTGATGTTTAATAAAATGCTTAGGTCAAACAACATTAGAAAAAAAACAAAACATGCCAGTTGAGTCACATATATTTTGACAGATATGTTTTAATGATTATTTTACTTAGATTCATACTTCAATAATTTCCTACTTTTGCAGAAAACGGGTGACCCTAACCATTTCCCTGAAGATAAAGAGGCTGTAATTGACAAAAATGTTTGTTCTAAGTTCAGGTTATGAAGAGGCAAAAATAGAATAAAAATAGACAAAAATAGGACTTTGATCAAATTTACTTTGATTAATATTTATCATTTGATTTGACATAGAATAAATCTTTTGTCTATATTTCAGAGTGGCTCAACCGCAAACATAGCGAGTGTAGTTACAAAAGAAGCTGAGGAAGACAGGACCAATAAAAGGCAGGTACTATATTCTATCCTAGCTTTTTTTGTTTCTTCTTAAACAAGTCCTTAGCTATATTGCCTTTTTAACTAATAAACAAGTTGTTGAGAACAAAGGCGATGTAGTAACAGCAATTCTACAGTCGCAGAAAGAAGTTGTTATTGAGCTGGTTGATGAATTTTAAACCAACGGGCAGAAGAAGAAACTTAAAATCAAGATCAAACAAGAAGTGGAGTAGGCAGATTTCAAGAAATTTGTGCTAATGTCTGTATTCTCTCTTAATGACCTATGTAGGGGATAGGCGTGGTGACCGCACTGGATTGAGACTGAGACGGGCCATAGACCAGGTGCCTCAGCAACCAATTTTCCAATCTTAGGGACGGGGACGGCGGACCTGGGTCTTTCTCTTTCAGAGACAGTGGCCAGAATAGAGATAACGTCAAAATTAAATGGGAGTCAAAATCAAGGGAGCGGAGGCAGTTTCAAGGTGGATGAGGAGGCATGCTTGGCGAGTGGCGGACTGGCATACTCTGGGCTCTACTGCTTGTGACTCCAGGAAGAAGAAGACGGATAAGGGTTCTTCGGGTTTGGCCTGGGGCTTTTGATCCCAAGGTACGGCCAGCAGTTATTAAGCAGTAGTCAGTCCATGCAATTTTGGACGCGCTTTTCACTATGGGTCATCCGGAAACAGTCTCTCTGTGTTTTAGTACAAGGGTAAGATTACGTACATCCGACCCCCCCTTACCCCACCGTAGGTGGGAGCCTTTGCGGCACTGGGGTAAATGAAAATGAAATGATCATCAGTGGAGTGCCCCCGACCTGGCATCTTCTATTTATCCTATTAAAAAAGGATGCACTCCTATCTCTCTAGAAAATTCCTTTTTCCTACTAAAGGAGTAAAGGACATGTAAGGCACAAGTAGAAGTGAACTTAGAAAACAAGGAAATGGTGATATTTTCGTACATTGAAGCATCATGATATTGTTTAATTTAGAAAACTTTTACTGAGTAGCTAGAATAAACCAGATTTAACATAATATATGAGAAAAAAGAAAGTAATTTAGGCATAGAGAAATACTAGGAAATTTGAAACATTAGAAAAGAAGCAGGAAAAACTCATTATTTTTTGGCTTGGGAATATGATGGCATAAAGCAAATGGACTCACTAAACTGTCTGCGCTTCTTTGTTATGACGCAACAATCGGTCCATGCAATTTTTGACGTGATTTTGACTATGGGTCATCCGGAAACAGTCTCTCCCTGCTTTAGTACAGTGGGTACGACTGCGTATATCCGACCCCCCTTACCCCACTATAGGTGGGAGCCTTTGCGGCACCGGGGTAATGATAATGATGAGAAAAGAAGCAGGAAAATTGAACTAAGCAAGAAAATTAGGCAGAGAGGGAATTCTAGATTCCATTTAGTCATTTGTCTTAGATAACTAAATACTGAGTAGTGTGAGTATGGCAGTTTCAACATACTAAGTGAGAAGAAAGCAAGTAAAGTAGAGAATCTACCTCGGCTACTTCTGTTAATGGCTGTGTTGGGAAAAGATGGCATACTTTTTACTTTTTACATTTTTTATGAAATATTCCATATGACTATAATGCTTTGGACTTCTTCTTTCTGTCAATCCTATACATAATTGGCATTGAAGAATAGTGTCTCCCATGTTTGATATATTTTATTAATTTCCAATGAAAATAGTTTCTTATTTGGACAACAATATAATAGAAATTAAAATATATAGTATGGAGTAATAAATAGTAACAAAATAAAAGAGGTGACTATTTCTAAATAGTCATGCTTATATGAGGATATTCTTAAGCTTCCCTTCTCCCCACTCTGTTATTGATTCTTGATAGTATTGGCTTAGGGGCGAGTCAGAAATACAAGAGCTTTGTTGATGCAGTGGTATTAGAATTAGAGTTAATGGCCTTTCCTTCTTAAGTTTTAGTTTAAAAGATCTTAGAATTAGAATTTATTCTCTCTTGAACTTTAATTGTGGCAAGTATGAATTGCTGAAATCCATAAATTCAAAAATAAAGTAGAGCATTTACAACACAACAATAGGAATGATTTAAGAGAGGGATCCAAAAGCTTTCTAATCTGATTTTATTTACCATATGGATAGTGTTTTTACAAGAACTTTGCTCAAATATGTGCTGAAATAAAACTATGGATATTTTCCATAAACTATCACTTTAGTGGAAATAAATGTAGTTAATTATATAGTTTGTTCGTGTTCTTTTTTAGGTTCTTTTAAGGTTGTTATTTCTATTATTGGAAGTCACCTAATCTGCACACAAAATATTGGTAATTTTCACTAACTTTTACTAATTGGTCCTGCTTAACAATCTTTTTCAGATTTGTTTTTTAAACTGGAATTTCCCATCAAAATGCATAGAATGATAAGGTTTCTTCAGGTTTGGCCCGGGGCTTGGTGACGGTGGACGCCAAAATTAACGGGGCTTAGGGAAACCGCCAAAGTCTCTTTGTGCTTTAGTACAGGGGTAAGACTGCGTACATCCGATCCCCCCTTACCCCACCGTAGGTGGGAGCTTTTGCGGCACTGGGGTAAATGAAAATGATGAGGGAAACCGCCAAAGTCAAGGGAGTGGAGGCAGTTCCGATGAGGGGAACGGCGAGGTGAGTAGAAAATTGGCAGCGTCTGCATCTCTGGGTTCTGGCTCAACGGCTTGCATACCTTAGGAAGAAGAGGACGGATAAGGTTTCTTCAGGTTTGGCCCAGGGCTTGGGGGGGGGGGGGGGGGGTGTTAATTAGAAACCAATAAAAATTGAACTTGACCTGGGCCTAGGGTTGGACTCGGGCCGGGGTGCCCGACCCGGAACCGAGTCCAACCATACCCGGGCCTGGTTCGGCCTGGCCCGGTTAGGCCCGGACCCGGTATCAACCCGGGCTGGCCCGGGTCCATCCCCTCGGGCCTTGCCCGGAACCGGAATTGGCCTGACCCTGGTCCATCCCTAATTGCATAGTTTTGAATTCCATTTCAATTCCTTCTCCTATAGAATCCTCCATAAGAACATATTTGTAGTGTTTCATTTTGCAAATATGACCTCGGTTCCAATTTTCCCCACATTTGAAACATAATACCTTCCTACTCATCTCCTGCAATTCATTTTGTGTTAATATGGACCCCATCTTCCTTGGAATAGGATTGGACACTTCTTCAGTCTTCTTGATTTCCCCTGAATTATTTCCAGAATGGTTTGTAGTTGTCTTGTGATAACTACTTCCACTTCCATCTCCCCATTTATGGCAGCTCTGTCCACATGTGGAATGTGTTTTCCATATCTTCTTTCCTTCTTCCTTATTTCTCCAGGACAATACTTCACTATTCTTGTGCTCAATTAGTAATGTTGTATCCATGATATCAGTCCAATCCCTAACATTATAGAGCTTTAACTCAGCTTTAATGTCCTTCTTCAGACCATTCAAGAAAATGCCCTTGGTTACCTTCCTACTCAAATCTCCTTGAGAAGCTACTACCATTTTGAATTGTTCTCTGCATTCCTTCACTGTTCCTTTCCGTTTGAGACCTAATAATGGACCCAAAGGATTTTGAACCAATTCTAGATGGAATCGAGTCGATGGATTCGGTTCGGGCCACCCGGCCCGTGACCCGGCCCGGCCCGGTACTGTGCGGGCCCGGGACCGGCCCGGTTCGGGCGGTCCGGGACCGGGTATGGGCCCGAACCGGTGGGAAGTGCGGGGTGGGCTCGGTTCAGCATTTTTGTGACCCGGCCCGGCCGGGTCGGGCTCGAGCCCGGGTCCGGTCCAATTTAAAAAAAAAAAAAAAATTTGTTTGGGCTCCTACTAGCCGTTGGGGGTGGGGCTGGGGACAACCCAAACGGCTATATAGCCGTTGGGTGGGGTAAAGAGGGGGTCCGGGGGGGTTGGGTGGTGGGGGGGTTGGTGGGGGGGGGGTGGGGGGTAAAAAAAACCCTATAAATATTCCTAATCTTAAACATTTTTTCATATCTCTTCTCCAAATCTTCCTATTCTTATCTCTCTACTCTCTAATTCTCTTATTCTCCAATATATTATATATCTAGTTATCTACTCTCATATTCTCTTCTCCAAGAAGTTAAGATGGAAAATCAAAATGCCATTATACGGTATAATTTTGATAAGCAGAAGGACCCGAAGACCGGGATGTGGTACGCAATTTGCAAATGGTGCGAAAAAAAATGTATAATGGGGGCTTCAGGTGGATTCGGGATGGCAATCAAGCATATGAAGTCATGTGACAAAGCCAAAGGATCGGGAGGTGCAGGAAGTTCCGATTGAATACAATTTTCAAAATGTTTATCTCTTATATGTAGTTCCTATTTCATTTCAAATAAATGCAATTGAAGTTTGTTTTTAATACTCGTATAAAACTATAAACTATAAATATAAATTCTAAAAAAAAAAAATAACCGGCCCGAATCGGACCCGACCCGTGACCCGGGCGGGTGGCCCGGCCCGAACCGGACCCGTCCAACCCGCGGGCCGGTCCCGGGCCCACTTTTCTTGAACCGGCGGCCCGACCGGGCCTAGGCCCGGCACGGGCCTGACCCGGCCTAGGCCTGGCCCGGGCCCGACCCGGCCCGAATCCATCACTAGAATCGACGGGTTAAAGCCGCCTTCAGAGTTTCCCAGTTATGTTCATGAGTCTAATTCTCCCATCCTTGGAACCAACTCAATGCTCTTTCCTCCATAGCCACTACCGCTACATTGACCTTATCTTCCTCTTCAATATGGTTAAGTTGAAAGTAGCGATCAATACTTATTAGGGATGGAACCGGGCCGGTCCGGGTCCGGGTCCGGTTCTGGTCCGGTTCCGGCCTGGGCCTGGGCGGTTTTTTTTTTGCAAACCCGTGGGCCCGGAACCGATCCGGGTTGATACTGAGTCTGGGCCTAACCGGGTCGAGCCAGGCCCGGTTCAATGTCTATTTTTTTTGCTTTCATTGTTATCCCTTGACCCCCCCCCCCCCCCTCACCCCTACCCCCAAACATCCCCAAAACACTCAGCCCTACCCTAGGAAATGAAAAAAATTGACTCGGGCCGGAACCGGCCAACCAATCTTCTCCGTTCAATAACAGTATATCAATTTTTCTTCTCGTTTGGTGATGGTGACCAAGTTCTTTGCGATGATGTTGGTGGCGATGCGGTGGTGAATGGTTGTCGTTCCCTTTCGAGTCCTCAGAAATCGATGCGACTTACTTCGCGATGTGACTTACTTCGCGATTGATTTTGGTCTCTCTCCACCAAAGTTGTGATCATTTCCCGTAACTAGGGATGGACTCGGGCCGGGTGGCCCGACCCGGAACCGGCCCGGGACCGGTACTGTTCCGGCCCGGCCCGACCCGATGGCCTTGTCAGTGACCGGTCCGGGTAGGCCCGGCCCGTGGGTTTTCCGGTCCGGGCTCGGGTCACCCAAAACAAGGCCCGACCCGCCCGGGCCCGGGCCCGGTTCGGGCCAAAAATTATTTTTTTTTTCAATTTTTTTTTTAAATTTTTGGGTTGGGCTGGGTATTTTGGGCCATTTGGGGTGGTTTGGGGGTGGGAGGGGGGTTAATTAGGAAGAGGAAAACAAAAAAAATTATAATGGGCCCGGCCCGGACCCGGTGGTTACCCGGGCCGGTCCTGGGTCCACCATTTCTGACCCGCCGGCCCGACTCGGACCCGGCCCGGACCCGAGTCCATCCATACCCGTAACTCAGCTATATTCGCTGCCACAGTTGCGACAGATTCCCGTTGACTTCTTTCCGATTCGTGCAATCTTCCTTCCATCTTAGCATGCGTAAGGATCATCCAGTGTGCTCTGATACCACTGATAGATCACTTCAATTTCAAAGAAATTACAAAAGAAATTCAAGAACAACGCAACAAACTTTATTAGAGAATATCAAGAAACAATGACCGAAGCCCCTAAAGAGAGAGGATTAGTCTCTAACTTCCCAGTATAAAACAAAATATCTAAAACAACCTACTTGGCATCTCCCAGTTTATTCTATTTATACTGTTCTAGTACATTTATTATTATTAATCTATTAGGCCCGATTTCGATCACATGGTGCTTCTCAGGATGGTAGGTTCTATTATAATGTACATACTTCTTTTATTTATTTATTTATTTCTAATTTTAGTCATGGTTGGGAGGCATGTTTGCAAACTGATCAAGACAACATCTCAGCAAATTGAAAATGGATTTATCAAGTGACTATAAGCAAGGGCGGATCTGCCGAGGGGCCAGTGCCCCTGCTTTCGTCGTAAGAACTAGTGTATAGCTTGAAGGGGTTGGGGGGGGCGCCGAATTGGTCTGTTCCATAATTTTCGGTGGGTTGAAGCCTGAAGGTGTAGCTTCCGGCTGGAGGACAGGGTTGATCGATGTAGAAGTATCCGGGTAACTTGGCAAGACTGATTTTTTTTTGAAGTAGAAGTGTAGGACGATGTCATTTAGAAGTAATCGGGCCAAGGCAGCCCAACAACCGAAACAATGTAAACATGCCAAGCCAAGTTCCAGTGCACAACAAGGTCTAAAGCTCTTCCCCTTCACCCAGACTGTAAGTCTGTATCTTCAAACATCAAATGCCGCATAGGAGCGTAACCCGGAAGCAACGAAGCAGTGAAACGGGCAAGTAGCAGAGCCACGCCAGCAGGTCGCTACACTGAACCGCCAGCCCCTAGGGATCTCGAAGCTAGCTCTGTAACACCCCGGGCCCACAAGCTCCGAGGGACCTCTAGTACTGTCCTCACAAACCGTCACTAGCCTTTTTCGCGCACTTTGTCCTCACTCGTGCGCATCCTGAGAAACTTCCCAGGGGGTCACCCATCCCAAGACTACTCTCGTGCAAGCACGCTTAACTTTGGAGTTTTTAGGTGATGAGCTCCCTTAAAAGGAGATGCATCTTGTTGGTATGACTAGTACTATTAATCCGTTTAAATTAAATCTCAAGTGTTACAATCATCCCCACTTAGGAACGCAACGTCCTTGTTGCGCCCAATATCTAAAACAACCTACTTGGCATCTCCCAGTTTATTCTATTTATACTGTTCTAGTACATTTATTATTATTAATCTATTAGGCCCGATTTCGATCACATGGTGCTTCTCAGGATGGTAGGTTCTATTATAATGTACATACTTCTTTTATTTATTTATTTATTTATTTCTAATTTTAGTCATGGTTGGGAGGCATGTTTGCAAACTGATCAAGACAACATCTCAGCAAATTGAAAATGGATTTATCAAGTGACTATAAGCAAGGGCGGATCTGCCGAGGGGCCAGTGCCCCTGCTTCCGTCGTAAGAACTAGTGTATAGCTTGAAGGGGTTGGGGGGCCGCCGAACTGGTCTGTTCCATAATTTTCGGTGGGTTGAAGCCTGAAGGTGTAGCTTCCGGCTGGAGGACAGGGTTGATCGATGTAGAAGTATCCGGGTAACTTGGCAAGGCTGATTTTTTTTGAAGTAGAAGTGTAGGACGATGTCATTTAGAAGCAGGAAAAAAATGTCCAGTGCCAATCGGGCCAAGGCAGCCCAACAACCGAAACAATGTAAACATGCCAAGCCAAGATCCAGTGCACAACAAGGTCTAAAGCCCTTCCCCTTCACCCAGACTGTAAGTCTGTATCTTCAAACGTCAAATGCCGCATAGGAGCGTAACCCGGAAGCAACGAAGCAGTGAAACGGGCAAGTAGCAGAGCCACGCCAGCAGGCCGCTACACTGAACCGCCAGCCCCTAGGGATCTCGAAGCTAGCTCTGTAACACCCCGGGCCCACAAGCTCCGAGGGACCTCTAGTACTGTCCTCACAAACCGTCACTAGCCTTTTTCGCGCACTTTGTCCTCACTCGTGCGCATCCTGAGAAACTTCCCAGGGGGTCACCCATCCCAAGACTACTCTCGTGTCATCCGTCTGTCCAGTAAATTTTCCCATTAATCGTGCCCCAGCTTAAAAAAAATTCTAGTTCCGCCACTGACTATAAGCTCCGAGGATCTAATTCTGCAGGATTTCATTTGCAATCGACAGGGAAGTCCAACCTGCCAGCCGCCAGGACCTCACGACTGTTGGTGGTGCTTGTTGATTTCCGATTGCAATTTGGTGTGAATGAGGCAGAGTATCGGGCGACTTGAAGGCTAGTGGTGCATTTGCTGCAGCGATATCAATGGAGGGCCATAGGCCACCGACTAACCTTTGGCCCAACAAGACCGCGACGACCGCAGTGGTTGATTGAGACAGATCCAGACCTTGGGGCTCTACTTTCAGTGACGACGACCGATAGATAGTTGGCCATAAGCAATGGCGCAAAGCAGAAAACCAGCAAAGCACTCATGTTCTAGGCTCGAATATGTTGAACTCTCATGTTTATGCCTTTAGTTTTTTGTCTGTGCTAAACACTCATGTTATATGTGGTATGCCATTATATTTTTGGTGGATGTGTGACACACTTTTATGTTATGTACCACCCTCGTGTGTAAACACTTATTCAACGCCTCTATTTGTGCACAATTATATGGTTGTTTAGTATATGGTTGTACTACATGTTTGCTTGTGTTAGTATAATTTTTGGTTGTAGTAAAAATTAGCATGGGTGTTAGTTGCACCACATGTTTACATGGGTGTTAGTTGTTTAGATTCAAATGCATATGAGTATTGTATGTTTGGTTTGGTTTTGTTTACCTTATAATGTAACCATTCTATTCTTCAAATTGAAATGAAAGAGAACCTTTTCAAAGTATACACAAAACAATATCAACTAACACATGTGAGCAAAAATAGACTTTCAATTGGCCTTGTTTGATTACACAAACTACAACCACAAACATACTCTTTAGTGTCAACTTCACTACCATTACATGTTTGGTAAACATTACATGTACTACACGACAACAACTTCTCACAAATGAAGGGCACTAATACAACAAAAAAAAGATATTACAATGACACTTCTAACTACCCTTCTTTGGTCTTCTCAAATAAAATTGTCAATGTTAGTGTCATCTTACCCCCTTCGACCATTGGAGTTTGTGCAAACATTTCTATAAGTTCACAAACATCACCTTTCACCTTTTCATCTCGACCTCCTTCACCTTCAACACTTGGACCTTACCTTCCATGATTGCTGCTTTCACTCAATTTCCATTCGAAGTAATTGCATTGTGTGCAATTATAAAACAATCTGCCCTTATTTTTCCCAACTTTTGTTGTAACTAAGCATCCTTGAATACAAACTCAACATGCATAACATTTTTTCTTGTTAGGGCATTCATTAAGGAAATGCTTTGAACTCCTACACCCGGTTCATTTTTTGAATAAACAAAAGAAGAACGACAAAAGGAAGAACGAAAAATATGTACGCACCTGAAGATGAAGAACCTTAAATCATATGACAATGGCGGCACCTCTTGAAAAATCCAAACGGCTGAAGAACGGACAAAGGGAAGTGAGCTTCCCAAGCAAATGATGTGTACCTCACTTGAATTATACAAAGAAAGTTTGGTTTGTACTCGACTTAGGGATTTAAACATATAAGGATGTGAAGTTACATGTTTACTCCTGAAAAAATGAAAAGCCACACGGAGTTTGTAAAACTTTTAACTACAAGGGCGACATTTAAAACAATTCTGACAAAACATGGAGTGACATTTAAAAATGCAAAAACATAGGTCTGGGATTTCAATATGATGGCTAATTGAGAGTTTAAAACTGTGATTTTCACTATAGATTAATAATGAAGAACTAGAACCCGCACGGGTAGCTCAGTTGGTCAAGTGGTGGGAGATTTGGAACAATGGACCAAGGTTCGAATCCCCGCAGCGACCGGGTGGAGGTCACAGAACCTGAAATAAGGCTGGGCCTCTGGTGCGCACGGGTGTATGGGCCTACTGCCATTCTGCTAACTGAGTCACCGTGACTAACCTCCCCACCATCCTGTCGGGTCGGGATGGGGGGCTCCTGGGGTGGGAGATTCCACTTTTTTTTGGAACAATAATGAAGAACTAGATGGAAGGTTAATTTTCTTTCTTCCACGGTCATTTGATACCATGGGGTGTGGGGATATTTTAAAACTATGAATTGTATATTTCATGGTTAAGTTATTACATTTTAAAGTTGTTTTCAATCTAAAATTAGGTAAGTGTGTACATGGAGCATATATGAAAAGCCAAATCAGTAATTTTGGATCAACACAAGAAATTTAAGACTATGGGTCGTAAAGTTTTCATTGGTTTGTTATGTTAAACTTTTGTGTTTAATTTATATTCCAATCATTAGTCACTCACTTTGAGTAGATGCTATTACGAATTTTGTTTCTAAACACAATAAGAGATAGCTAAATAAATCTAACACCACTGAGGATTATGTTCATAGAACACCTATCATTTGTCAACGCAATATATCAAGATCATATCCGTAACTAATTTGATTGTGTTTGAAATAAGTTTGCTAATATTTTCATTATTTATTTTTTTGTAAAACTAAAATTATTTAAAACCCATAATGGCTCCACTGCAGTACGTATAGGAATCCTTCCAGCAGCGGGATTATTAATAAAGTTAATGACCGATTTTTTTGTGTTGTGGTTCACGTCGCATAAAATGTAACCCGCATTGATGAAAAGTATAATTTATGTGTACACGTCAAAATTTTTCTTTATATATAGCGTGAGTAGGACTCTTTTTTGTATTTTTTTTTAATAAACTTTTTTTTATTTATCTTTTTTTGTTGAATATTTTTTTGAATTTCTAGAAGTACTAGATACAACTGGATTGGGGCTTTTTGGGGAATTAGAACGTGTGTTGATTTCATCTGAGCTAGATATTGATGATGTTAGAGGACAGAGTTATGACAATGGGTCTAACATGAAAGGTAAGCATCAAGGTGTTCAAAGAAGGCTACTTGATATGAACCAGAGAGCTTTTTACATGCCATGTGCTTGTCATAGTCTAAATTTAACAATTTCTGATATGGTTAAATCTTGTTCAAGAGCGGTTACTTTTTTTGGATGTGTTCAGAAATTGTATACATTATTTTCTGGTTCAACAAAAAGATGGGCAATTTTGAAAGAGCATTTACAGTGCTTAACTTTGATGTCATTGTCCACCACACGTTGGGAATGTCATGTGGAAAGTGTTGAAGCAATTGTAACCCAAACTTTGCAAATATGAGAAGCTTTGATTGAACTGGGAAAAGATTGCACTGATTATTCGTCTAAAAATGACGTTAAAAGTGTGCTGAAACAAGTAGAAAAGTTTGAATTCTTATTGGGCATGGTAATATGGTATGATGTTTTGCATCCCAATAGTAAAGTCAGTAAATTATTACAAAGTGAAGATATGTGCATGGATGCTTGTATAGTAAATATGAATGCTTTGATTATTTATTTAAACAAGTATCGAAATGAGGGGTTTGAAGATGCGATGAGTAGAGCAAAAGGTATTGCTCTAGAATTGGGGCTTGAACCTTGTTTTCCTGAAAGGCGATCGATCCGAAGGAAAAAGCACTTTGATGAAGATAAAGAAGATGATGAAGATAAGTCGTCTCAAGATGCTTTTAAGTGTTTTTATTTTAATGTTGTAATGGATGCTTGTTTGGCTTCTTTGCAAAGTAGATTTGATCAGATGAAGGTTTTTCAAGGTATTTTTGGGTTCTTGTTCAATTCACGGAACTTGAAATCATTGGATTCTGATAAGTTGAGAGATTGTTGTAAGATACTTGCAGAAGCTCTACAAGATGGTGAAAAGGAAGACATTGATATGGATGATTTGTTTCAAGAATTGGAAATGTTGCAAAATATTTTACCGGATGATAGGGACACAACCATTAAAATTCTTGATTTTGTGAAGAACTTGTGTTGTTATCCGAATACAACAATTGCTTACAGAATACTGTTGACAATACCTGTGACCGTTGCCACAACGGAGAGAAGTTTTTCAAAGTTGAAGATTCTAAAGAATTATTTGCGATCGACTATGTCTCAAGAAAGGATGAATGGACTAGCAATTTTAAGCATTGAGCATGAGATCTTGGAAAAGGTTGATTATGAAGCAATTATTGATGATTTTGCTTCACAGTGTTCAACGAGAAACGTTTTTAAGTAATGTTTTTCTTTTTATGTGATACTTGTTACATTTCATCAAACATGTTATTTAAATATTAATAAAGTGAATTTCGCCTTTATTTTTTTACCTTTATTCAATTATTCGGTAGTTTTATTATAATCTATGTTTGTCTTATAAATTTAGGCCCAACTTAGCTTCTCGCCCATAGGCTCAAAAAATGACAGGACCGGCCCTGCAAATAAGAAAGAGAAAATTCACTAAATAAGATTAAAACAAAAATAAAGTTCATACACAATATTATCGTTGTTTTATTCTCAAAATATGACTTATTCACTGCTATTTTAGCAAACTTTAATCATATTATTTTTAACAGGACTAAGTAAGATCTATTTGAAGAATAAAACACATTTTTTCATATATTAAATCACATATATGGAATTATTTCATGAGGAATGATCCTATCAAAACTATCCGACACGATTTGCCATCTAACCATCTATGTTTGTTGTGCTTCCGGGTTTATTTTTTTGACGAAACTTTTTGAGGATGTTTTTCATGATGTGTAGCTTGTTCGCAACAAATTTTAGTTTAAAATTCAATCAGAAAGTTAATTCAATAAATTATTGAAAAACACAGCGTCAAAATGTATATAAAAAACACAATGCTTTTTCCTAATTTATTTAGTTGACTTCCAGATTGAATTTTAAGCTGAAATTTGGTGTACATAATCTAAACTTAAATTTAAAACTTGATTACAAAATTTAATCAAAAAATTCTACCCGAAATAAAAAAATACCTAATTTTTTCTTATTAGTGATTAGTATTTAATACTAATACTAGTAAAAAATAAAAGCATTGGGGGGGGGGGGGGGGGGGGGAGCAAGGCCCCCTAACCCTATACTACCTCTATCCCAGTATGTGTACGTAAAGGTAACTTGTTTAATTTAGTCCAAATATAACTCATGTATATGAAAGTAATTCCCACACATGAAGATATAAATCGCAAATAAAAAAATGTTACCCGCGCACATGAAGATGTAAATTGCACATAACAAAATGTAACTCGCGCACAATAGGATGTAATTCACTAATATGAAGATATAAATCACGCATTAAAAGTAACTTCATGTATGATCTAATGTAACTCCAAGAATTGTGTATAAATGTAACTGACACATATGAAAATGTTAACCATGCATAGGAAAATGTAATGTCATGTTTTATCAAATATAAATCAAAATAAACATACTTAATGCTCTAAAAACATTGAAAATATATACTACGTAAAAGAGATAAAAATATACCGAGTATGATAAATTTGCATTTTCAGCCCCACAAATAGTTCGAATTTTAGAATGTGCTCTCTGTATTCTTAAGTGTGATTAAATTTGACCAAATTTTATAAAAGACGTAGCTGTATAAAATTTGAAAACATTACAAGTGAAAAAATATCTCAAAAATGACAAATGTTGCAAATAAAATAAATAAATAAATAGGTACCAATGTGGGGTATGGACGAATTTTCCCTTCAAATATAAAATTTATAAATAATTAATTCTGTGTGATTTAAGTTTAAAATTGGCCTCGGGATATGATAATTCGAAAATTTCATAAGAGAATCAATAGTGTTTACTGAAAATGTAAATCATTTATTAGCCGTGTTTAGCCATTTTTAATGTATGGCAATTTTCCAACATGGTATTAAAGAGACGGACCCACATACCGGGGCCCGAAGTGACAAAGAATTTTGACGGTAAACATCACACTCATCCGTCAAGAGTTGCATTTCCCCACAAAACTCACACTCTTTTCTTCCCTCCGCCGGTTCTAAACAAATCCACAGAGCCTCGCTGCCAAAACTACCAAAGGCCACCCCTTTCAGCAAAACCCACGTTTTCAATTCCTCCTTTATGCATGTGTTTATATGTTTATACTAAGAACATGCATTTACGGATAATGAATTGAAATCCTCCGTAGTGCAAATGCCGCGGCTTTCGAGGTTACATCGCGTCTGCTTCTTCTTCCTCTCTGTTTTTGCGATCCTTCATCTTCCTTTCTCTGTGTCTGGGTTGAATCGAGAAGGACGTTACCTCCAAAGACTGAAGCTTTTCCTCTCCGACCCCAACGACGCGTTTTCTTCATGGTCCGAACGTGATCCTACTCCGTGTAGCTGGGCCGGAGTTGAATGCGACTGCAGCGGCGCCGTCGTCGCCGTCACTCTCTCCGGGTATTCTCTCGCCGGCCCCTTCCCGGATTTCCTCTGCAGTCTCCCGTCTCTTGCCGCTCTCAATCTCTCCAACAATTACATCAACTCCACACTTCCTCTCTCCATTTCTAGATGCCGTAACCTCATCAGCCTTGACTTGTCGCAGAATCTCATTGGCGGACCCATCCCGGACACCCTCTCCGACCTCCATTTTCTCAGGTATGTTTACCGTTAATTTTAACGTACTCTGCTTTTTTAAAACTCTTTACCACTTCCCACACCCTGTTGAAATTAGTGAAGAACTTAAGAACAGAGTCTTAGCTTTTTGTGTTTTTTTTTGCTACTGTTTGACCTTTACGTTATGTTGTCATCGAAATCAAATCATAATGCGATTTTAGTTTAGTAATTACTCTTGAATAAATGCTCATTGATACACCGTATATGATTTACAGTAATTGTACGGAGTATTTATTAGTGTGGTTATCAAGTGGAATGATACAGTAATATGACATCTTTAACTTGCAGGCATCTTGACATCAGTTACTGCAGCTTTTCCGGTCAAATCCCGGCGACATTCGGAAGATTTCGGTCATTGGAGACACTTGTTTTATCCGACAATGAGTTGAACGGAATAGTTCCGGCCATTCTGGGTAACATAACGAGTCTGAAGAGGATTGAACTCGCTTACAACCAATTTTCGCCGAGTCAGTTTCCGGCAGAACTCGGCAACTTGACGAATCTTGAATACCTATGGCTGGGCGGGTGTAATCTTGTGGGTCCGATTCCAGAGAGCATTGGAAGGCTGAGTCGACTCACTAATTTCGACGTGTCTAACAATCGACTCACTGGGTTGATACCCAGCACGATTTCCCAAATGAAGAGCATCGTTCAAATTGAGCTGTTTAATAATTCTCTCACCGGAGAACTGCCGGCGCGATGGTCAAACCTGACCCAGTTGCGGCGGATTGACGCTTCGATGAACAGTTTAACCGGTACGATTCCGAGGGAGTTATGCGAGTTGCCCCTCGAATCGCTGAGTCTATTCCAAAATCAACTCGAGGGTTCAGTGCCAGAGAGCATTGCTAATTCTTCAAATTTAAAGGAGCTGAAACTGTTTCACAACCGTTTCATTGGGCCATTACCGAGCCAACTCGGATTGAACTCGGCGTTGAGTTTACTGGACGTCTCTTACAACAACTTCTCCCGGACGGTCCCAGAAGGGCTGTGCGATGGGGGATCTTTAAGCGTGCTCATACTGATGAACAACTCTTTTTCGGGGAATATTCCGGTGAATCTCCGCCGGTGCCTGACTTTGAAACGGATTCGGTTTCGGTTTAACCAGCTTTCCGGGGAAGTGCCCGCGGAGTTTTTCGGCTTGCCCCTTGTATACCTCTTAGACTTGAGTGACAATGATTTTTCTGGAAATATATCAACGATGATATCTGCAGCGAAGAGTTTAGAGAGCCTTCAAATTTCCAGAAATAGATTCTCAAGCTTCATTCCCATCGAAATCGGAACCTTGGCGAAATTAGGTCAAATTTCTGCCAGTCAAAATGAACTTCAAGGAGAAATTCCATCTACTTTGATGAACATGAAGCAACTGTTGTCCGTTGATCTTAGTAACAACAACCTCTCAGGGAAAATCCCGAATGGAATCCAGTCAATGGTGCAGCTAATTGAGCTTAATCTAGCCAACAATCAATTATCTGGTGAACTTCCGTATGGAATTGGAAACTTACCAGTTCTGAATTATCTCGACCTTTCTGGAAATCAATTCTCAGGAATAATCCCGTCGAGTTTCGAAAATCTGAAGCTTAACACGTTTAATCTTTCGAATAATCGCCTCTCAGGGGAAATCCCTCCTCTCTTTGACAAAAGCATCTACTGGGACAGCTTTCTGGGGAATCCTGCTTTATGTCGCGGTTTATGCTCTTCCATGACTAAACAAAAACATGAAGGTCATACATGGCTGATGAGAGCCATTTATGCAATGATAGTAGTTGTTTTCCTTCTCGGGTTAGTCTGTTTCATATATAAACACTTGAAATTTAATGTAGCAAAACATTCTGGTGCGCCATTATCCAAATGGACTTTTTTCTACAGAATCGGTTTAAATGAATGTGAGATTCTCAAATGTCTAGAAGATTCAAATGTGATCGGAAACGGGGCTTCTGGAAAAGTCTATAAGGCGAGTCTAAGCAACGGAGAAATAGTTGCTGTGAAGAAGTTAAGGAACAAAGACGAGTTTGACATTGAAGTTGAAACGTTGGGGAAAATCAGGCATAACAACATTGTGAAGTTATGGTGTTGTTGTGATGCAGGAGACTGCAACTTATTGGTCTATGAGTACATGCCAAGAGGAAGCCTGGGAGATTTGCTGCACTGCCGTAAAGGTGTTGGTATGCTGAACTGGCCAACCAGGTTCAAGGTTGTCTGTGATGCTGCCAATGGTCTATCCTACCTACACCATGATTGTCTGCCACCTATAGTTCACCGGGATATCAAGTCTAACAACATATTGCTGAACGATGACTTTGGAGCGAAGATTTCAGATTTCGGTGTAGCAAAAGTAGTTCGGTGTGCTGAGTCTATGTCTGTCATTGCTGGTTCTTATGGTTACATTGCTCCAGGTAACTGCGCTATTTTTTTTACTATTTTTTTCTGCTTTTATACCATGTTGATCGTTTGAATTACAATCTCACTGAAGTTGGAGTTCCAATGCCTTTTACTTTTTTATTTCCATGTTGGTTTAGGATACCTTAACACATTTATATATTGAATACAAGGATTCTAATTTTTTTGTTTTTTCTTTTTGCTGAATATCGGGCGCGGGGCAAATGTTGCCAACATATTAGTAGCTTGAATGATTGCAAATATCAATCTAAAACATAAACTGTTGTTTGTTGTGATCTA